CTGTTATGTGTTTGGGCCTGCATTGGGGTACCAGTTAGTACTTTTGACATAAACTTAGTGGCATGTTTTTTACCAACCTTATATTGATGCAATATTGATAGGGCAAAACAACGTTTGCCGGGCCCGCTAGTTATCATATAAAGATTTTGAAGAAATCATAAAATTTTATCAAAAGATTTTCGAAATTGTGAGGAGGAAGTAGAAACTGAAGTGGACCTGCGGGTAACTATGTGGGAAGCGAAAGGTCTAATCCACTTGAGGTGATTGTAGAATGTGAGACTTTATTTGTAATACAGATTATTTCTTCAATATACAATACACTTAATATATACCCAATATATTAAAGGTAACGAAAGTATTCTTTGTGAACTGAAATGTTATGAATTATTGTTTTCAGTTTAAATAAATTGTCAGGTTAAATATTATTTATATTTTCTAATAAAAACATACGGATTAAAAGGTTTACAATAGGCTTCATATTCGGCAATGATATATTTAAAAAAAAAATAAGTTGTGAAGATTTAAATTAAAATGGATACTCTATTCCAAAGATTTTGTAAATACTGACCATTTTGTGATTTAGTTACCAGACGGATTAGACCCAAGTTTATATACCAAAGAAATGTTGAGATATACAAAGTATTGCTTTAATCGATTACTCGTTTATAGAATTATAGTGCGCACCAGTCAACGGACAGACGGAACCGATATTTCGATGAGATTCTTTTGAGTCATATCAATGCCTCTATATATAATGCATAATATGTAATTTGTAATATGACAACCCCATTAAGCATCTCCTTGTTATTGATATCCGTTTTTCATTTCAACAATCAAAGAATTTCGATGCATTTATGATATAAAATAGTATAAAGTGAAATAAATAAAACCTACAATATTTTATATCCAGAGCGTTACATATTTCTTCAACACACTGTTATCCACTAGCATGACTGTACTTATATGTATCCAGGTTTTTAGTTAAATCTCTTAAGTGTATCTAATTCATTCAAAACTCATTTTGTTTGCTGTTGCGGTTCCTGTATGACTGTATATATGAGCATATGTACTAACAAAATTTTTCACTTCATGGAAATTTTGACAGCTGTCATGACTGGCATGACAGGCTAAACTCCATTTATTATTTTTTAGTTTTATAAAATTATTTTTGATATATGACTCTGCTTTGTTCGAAATCTATTAACATAGCCCCTCAATGCATTTGCATTAAAAACCACAGTTTCGTAATGTGTTCTCTCCCGCCTTCCTTCGTCAATCGTTCAGGTATCACATTTTAACTCTTCAACTCCGGCAGTGCTTGGCATCTTATTTGCAATGAAACCACACGATTAGCCCTTTGTCAGAGAACGAGAAGTGTCGTCGGCGTGAGAATATCTGTTGATATGCAACCATAAAATAGTCATTAACAACCGATAAAAAGTTTAAGCGTTTTCGCTCCATCCACATTGACGTGCCCATTCCGTGCCCGCTTCACGAGAGGTTGTGCACTTGCCAAAGTTGGTTCAATTCATCTTTTGATGTTTTTTATTGATTAACTAACTGTGAAATGAAGTTTTTTATTGAATGTTTAAGCCCTTTTTTGCCCTCCTTACTCTTTTCTTATTTTGTGCGATTGATGGTCTCATGCAATTTACTCGCTTGGTTACCGATGCTGCTGGATTTTATGCATCAATGCAGACGAAATTATCCTGAAAATAGACAATTTGGTTGTTCTTTAAAATGTGCTGTTGTGATAAGTATTAGGTGTACGAAATTGTATTATATTGTAGGAAGTTTTGGAATTAAGTATAACACAATGCACATTTCTATGGTATTGGACAATTTACCTTTTGATTTACAAATATGTATTTTGGTCAATGCTTCAATGTAAATGCAACGACCACGTCCTGACTGAAATAATATATATATATATATATAAAATAATTTTTTGAAATTTAACCATTACATAAAAAAGTAAGAAGAAAGGCGGAATGTGAAGCTCATATGGATACTCATAAAATTATAGCATGTGTCTATTAACATTTATATAAAAGATTACATTACATAATTTAAATCTATATTTTGAGCAGAGCATTTTAGTTTAATTATTGGTAAAAATTAAGAAATAAAATTTCAATACTAGAAGCTACATTCATGGTATAATAGTTGTGTTTCCAAACCTGCGGTATAGTACTAAATTGTACCGCTGGTGTGAATTGAAAAAAGTTAAACGTTTATATAATTTGTACACATGTTAAATTCGTATATGTTTATTAGAAAATATAAATAATATTTCTATGGGAATACTAATCGTGAAAATGTATATAAACTAAAAACAAAATTTTTGAATTGCGTATATATTAATTGTATTGTATATTAAAACCAGTAAGGAAAGTAGTAAAATCGGACGGGGTCGACTATATGATACCCTTCACCAATTTGGGTATATTCAACAGATGGTTAAGTTATACTAACTTCAATATGTTTTGTGCATATCGGCCACATTTTGAGTTCTTGGTGCATCATTTACTTAAAATCGGGAAAAAATATATATGGTAGCCCTATCCAAATTTGAACCGATTTCAACAAAACTTTCCATATGCTAGGTTATATTAGGTTAGGTTAGGTTTGGGGATGTGCAGTCACATGTATGACTGCAACACTCTGAGACCGGTTAGGTCCGTTGTGATCATCCACAAGAAGAGATACAGCGAAGTGAAGAGACAAGAGATAGATCTGTAGGGGAGAGAAGATTAGTGAATTAAAGGAGTGAAGGTCGATGGTCCTATGAGTCAGACAGAAAAGTGTTACGTGCCAAGGTTGTATGCTCCTAACCACTTTATGTTTCTAATTATGCTGTAGATTAGATCAGGTTCGGTTGTTGAGAAGAGGCTGAGACTAGGTAGAAAATGTGCACCCATTAGTCTGTGCCGCCTGTAAGCCAGGGCTGGGCACTGGCACAAGAGATGCTCAATTGTCTCCGTCTCCTCCTCGTCAACACAGAGTCTACAGTAATCAATTGCATCGAGATCCCATTTACTAGTAATGGCCCTGATGTTGCAGTGACCAGTGATGATTCCTGTCACCACTCTAATTTCGGCTTTACTCAGGTTCAATAGTGAGCGCGTTCTTTTGGTAGACAGAGTCGGCCAAATGGATCTTGACACGTTGCACCTAGGTTCGTTGTGCCAAAGTTCACAGGCTGTTTCGTCAAAGAGTGCCTCAAAATTCCGCTGCCTTCCAGATCGCGAAGATTTCAGATTGGAAAACACTGCAGTTGCTATCCAGCTTGTAGGTTAACTCAAGGCCTAACCTTTCACAGTAGACGCCTGCCCCAGTGCCTTCTTCCATCTTGGATCCGTCTGTATAGAAAGCCAGACCGTCCAGAGGAGGGTTACTTCGTTTCCAGTCGTCTCTACTAGGAGTAACGACATCTACATCGTCAAATCTAAGGATTGGTGATATATAGTCGCTTAGTGTAATGCGTCGGTCCAAAGATATACCTGGTTAATTCAGAACACTACTATGCCCAAAGGTACAGTTCCGCCAGAGTTTTTGTTCATGCAGCCGTAGGGCGCTACGCGCAGCTTGACACTTAATGCTGAGGCCCAAAGACTTGAAATACAGCATTGCGTTCAAAGCTGCTTGTGGCTACTTCTTCTGGCTCCTGTAACTAAAATCGCGGCGGCTCTTTGTACCTTGTCTAATTTACTATATGTCGACTTGAGGCTCAGACAGTTCCACCAAACAAGAGAGCCATAGGACAAGATGGGCTTCACCACAGTGTTATACATCCAGTGTATAGTCGATGGTTTTAGCCCCCAGCTTTTCCCAATGGAGTTCTTGCATGCATAGAGTGCAATCATTCCTCTCTTCGTCCGCTCCTCAACGTTCCTTTTCCATCGTAGTTGACAGTCCAGGATTGTGCCGAGGTACTTTGCTTCGGGGGATAGGTGAAGTTGCACTCCATCCAATGTTGGTGGAACAAAAACGCCGAGCTTACCCTTCCTAGTAAACATTACCAGTTCCGTCTTCGTTGGATTTACACCAAGACTATTTGCCCTGGCCCAGCGTGACAGCGTCAGTAAGGCTCTTTGCATAAGCTCAGAGATCGTAGATGGAAATTTTCCGGAGATCAATATCACCACGTCGTCCGCATAAGCTACAACTTTGATACCTATCCCGTCCAATTCCCTCAATATGATATCAATAACCAGTAGCCATAGTAACGGCGAAAGCACCCCTCCTTGAGGTGTGCCTCTAGTTAACGTTTTCCTGATTTTTGCATCCCCCACACTTGAATTTATAATCCTGCTGTTAAGCATTTTATCTATCCAATATGTCAGGGTGTCAGGAATGCCAACTTCCCTAAGTGAGTGGTTTATGGATTCAAGTTTAACGTTGTTAAAGGCTCCCTCTATATCTAAGAAGGCAGCCAGTGTAACATTTGAATTTTCCATGTTCCCCTCAATGTAGCCTACCACTTCGTGCAGTGCAGATTCCACAGACTTGCCCTTTATGTATGCGTGCTGTGAATTGCTAAGAGAGGTGGTGTCTATACGACTCCTTACCTCCAGATCGATAAGTCTTTCGAGAGTTTGAGGAGAAAGGATGATAGGCTAATGGGTCTATAGTCTTTTGGTGCAGAGTGGCTTGGTTTCCCTGCTTTGGGAATATAAGTAACCTTTACCTCGTTTCATAGATCCGGAACATACGAGAGAGTCAGACACGTAGTGTAAATCTTCTCAAGAATCAGATAAATACTTGGCGAGGCATATTGATGATATATGTATGATACCATCCGGTATGATACCATCCGGTCCTGGCTTGATTTATTCACCCCTGAATATACTCACAGAAATTTACCCAAGACTTTTTCTTCGCGCGTTTTATCTCACTCTTGTATTTATTGAAACTAACTCTATAGAGGTTCCAATCAGTGTGGAGTTTAGACTTATGCGCCCTGTTATACAGTCGTCTGGTCGCTTTCCTGAGCTCACCAAGTTCCTTGTTCCACCACACTGGCCGAGATTTCTTCCCAGGGTGTGTAAGCGGACCGTATTCCTTATGGCAACCAAGGAGAACATCCGTTAGATTTTTCACGGCCCCGTTGATTTCCACAGCTGTTCCTAGGTTTGTGTTAAGAGTCAGCTGAGAGTTCGTTAGCTCCGTGAATTTCTCCCAGTTTGTTCTCCTTGGATTCCGATATGGCTGTTGTCTATCTCCATCAAAAGAGTACTCGAAGAGAATCTTTAAATGATCCGAGAAGGAACATTCATCAGATACTCTCCAATTTCTGATGACGGAGTTATCTAGATTTGAGAGGGTTAAGTCAATCTTTAAATGATCCGAGAAGGAACATTCATCTGATACTCTCCAATTTCTGATGACGGAGTCATCTAGATTTGAGAGGGTTAAGTCAATGACCTCCTCTCTATCCCTAACTTTAAAAGTCGGATCACTACCCCTATTACATATACGTAAGTTATAGGATAAGATGAAATCGAAAACGGAATCACCTCGTTTGTTTGTGTCCTTGCTACCCCATTGAAAATGGTGAGCATTTGCGTCGCATCCCAATATAACGTTGCAAGTGCTCGTCATCTCATCGAGCATCTTTCGTACACAGGTGGCTGGTGGGTCCATCTCCTCAAATGGCATATATACTGAGGAGAGCAGGGTGGCCCTCCCCGTCTTGTGCTCCAGCCTTACAGTGCACATGTCACCATTGCTGTAATTAGATAGAAAGATTAGATTTAAGCTCTTCTTACCTACTATACATGTTCTCACCTTGTCCCCCATGGACGCGGCGAAAATATCAAAGTTGGCATTCCTTAGTCTAGAAACCATATTTTTATAAATATATGGCTCCTGGACTAAGGCAATGTCCACTTCCGAGTTCGTGAGGGACAGGAGTAGTTCGTCGGCAGCGGCCTTGCAATGATGCAGATTGATCTGCATTATGCGCAGCCTACGCCGCTTCCCCACTCCTACTGAGTTTCGGTGGATGTGTTCAGTCGAAACCGAACCCATCCTGAACCGAAGCTCAATTTCCCCTCACGATCTCTGAGATATTTCTCCCCCGGTGGGTCAACCGCAACTCTCCCCACCATACCACCATCCTCGTTACAGCGAGTTAGACTGACCACAGTCCAACTCGATGTAGTGAGGCTGGGGTTTTGCAGCGCCAGCATCTTCAGCAGGAGCTCCTTATCCACAGAAGGTGGGGGAACCCAGGCTGAAAGAACCCGTCATGTTGGGATTTCCGCTAGGGAGACCGCTGCAAGGTCTGCTCCTTCCCAGAGCGCGCCAAAGCCATTAACGGTTTCCACAAGGAAATCCTTGGATTTCTTGTTTAGACAGTTAATGACTTTGGCACCCTTCTGCATGAAGGCACTACTAAACTGTCGGTCCCTTGGTCCGTCCTGCAGACGATAGCCGACCGAAGGGCTCCTTCAAATAGCAACCAATGACTTTCACTGATTCTGCCCTGAGGATCAGCTTTGTCTATGATCGCCACAAGAAGGTTTTCTTCAGTGGCTACCTTAGTTGGTCTATCATACGGCTTACGCTGTCGTTGACTACGAACCTTGGAGGTCGCCTTTCCAGAGGAGGTTGAAGACTTCTCCGTACTTAGTCGTTTCCCCTCAGTTTGTTGCCCAACGCAAGCCGCATAAGAGGTAGAAGGATCTACCAGACGAGAAGTCATCGTCTTCTTGGGTGAGGGTTGCTGACCTTCTGAAGAGCGGATGCGCTTCACAGATTTATTCTGTGGGCGACATCTGCTCCCCCAGGAGATGATGGGTCCTTTACTGACTTCCCCTTCTTCCTGTTTCGACCACTTTTTGGTCCACCCAGAGCTTTTGCCTCACCCTTGTCGCCAGGCGCAGAATCAGGCTTTAAGACAGTGCCCTTCGCATGTTGATCACCCTTATGGGTGCCATCTTGCTTTGGGATACCCTCAATTGCCTTTTCCTGTGCTTTCTTACTCGGGTTCGGATCAGAATTGGGCTTCGGGTCAGAAATCGGCTTAGCACCTTTGTCAGAGACAGTGGTCTTCGCCGATTCTACTACTTTTGTGCGAGCAGTGAGATTCGGGAGGGAGATCTTGTCCATCTCGAGTTCGCGATGGAGAGCGTGAGGATAAATTCTCTCGAATTTCCTCACATATCTCATCTTACCCTTGATGAGATGAACCTCCCTCTACGAGATCAAATTCGCGGCTCGCCCCATGAATTTGCGAAGATACGAAACAGCACGTTTGTAATGCTTCGCATCGGTCACTTCTCGGGCCTTCCCAACCTTCGAGCCACTGTCCGTTTCCGGGGGATCAACAGATTCCCCATCGTCGGACATCACCTCTGTTGCAGATTGCCTCTGAAGTTTGTCGGCTGGTGCCGACACAGGACCTGTTGAAGACAGACTGGAGGTCGGTCGGACAATATGGTCCACATTTCCTTCGTTGCTGCTATGGCCATCCCCCTGTGTAGACTTGGCTGGAATCACCGTGGTGTCCAGCTCATCATCAGTTAGACTAAGATTTAATAGCAGTTCCTCCGGAAGCGTGTCCCCACATTGCTCTTCCGGTACCAGTCTGTCTAACTGGTCGAAGAGTTCCTTACATTGTTCCTCTAGGCTATCGCGGATAGCGCGTAGAGTCCCGTGTAGGTCGTCCCCTCCCAGAACTGCAGTCCTGTCAGTTAAGGACTGATTTTCATCAGTCTTGACATTATCGTTAGCCAAAAGAATTGCCGGTTCGTTTTGTTTTGGAATTGATGCACTTGTAGCAGGTACGGCTGTAGGTGCCAAGGCGTCCACACCTAGAACAGCCGGATCACAATCGCTTGATCTCGACGACACGTGGCTTGTGACCTCACCAACGATTGCCGCCGGTACTGGGTTATTAACTCCCTGCACCGTAACTTTATTCTTTTTACTTCTTTTTCCCATCGTAGTTGATTTATTTAAGGGGATCCGAAGATCCCCAGGGTTTCCACGAATTACAGAGAAAAGTTGATATAGGAGACCTAGGTCAGTTTCTCTCAGCACATCATGGAGACCCCCTTCCCATCCGCCACCCGGGAAGACGCGCCTAGTAGGAGATTGGAGGCATACTTGAACTTTTAATGTTAAATAAAACAAACAAAATCGATTTTTTACAATTTATCTTTTGAGATAAAAGCCAAAAAAGAGAAGTAATTCCTTTATTTGCGAAGAATTTTTCTTAGTCACTCACGCGACGTAACTCACGCGACATTTTTGATTTTGCAGATTTTTTTCTGCAGTGTCTGCTTCACTTTTCCACCCCTGCCGACCAAGGGGGCGACCTCCCCATTCGTAAGGATCGCGTACACACCAGAGAATGACATCCATTCAACGCAACTAGTAGTACACCGGCTAACGCAATAGAAAAATCATTCATGTTCACCAACGCAAATTCTCCTAAGCATAACATAAACACAAAAGTAAGTCAAATACAAATGAATCCCACCGGACTACAATTGTTTCCACAAACAACGCAAATGATCGTTCATAGCAGAGTTTGCACTACCGAGTGTGTGGAGAGCGCAGGTTGAAATAAATCAACCGCCAATTGAATAACGTATTATACGTCTGAAAGAGTAAAATACAAAACTCGTGTTGAGAATAACATTAAGAGTAATTTTCTATACACAGGGGTTGGCTTGCGGTATATTATTTTTGACTTGCGTTTTACATAAAATAAAATAACGCAACTACAATTAATGGCAAATTAAAAATTAATAGTGCAAAAACGTTTTTTAAACAAAAAATTAATTCATTTTTTTATTATAAAAAAAAAATTATAAGATTGCTACATATAAAATAGTCAGTATAGTTATTAGGGGAAATACAAAATTTATTTAAAAATTAAAAGAATAATTCGTGTTTTATGAGAAATTTTAAAATATTATGTATAAAATAACAGAAATAAAAACAAATTAAATGGATTGTCATAGTTCATTCTAAAATTAACTGATCATAAAAACAAACTTCACTCATAGAGTAGTACTGTTATGATGCGGTGCACCGCATTGATTCGATTGACTTTGTTTCTTTTGCGTTGTTTGCATTGTTTATGTTCTCCCGCACTCACATGCATAAAAACACTCTGAACGAAGCCGGCGATAGCAGAGAGTGTTTATACGAAGATATGATGTGAATGGAAAACAATCGGTAAAGTGAGAGTCAACAATGGCAGTATTTTCACGAATGACCGAGTGTTGACTGTACTATACCGCATCATTTGTAGTTGCGTTAAGTATTACTATCGCTTTATTTTATGCATAACGCAAGTCAAAAAAAAAAGCTACCGCATGTCCATCTCTGGTACACACCATAATTCGCATTATGATGGAATATGAGAAGGGATAGAAAACCAACTACAGAAATATACTTCAAGAGCCAGTTTGTTATTAAGTTGTATTATTCATTTAAAAATACAATTATATTAGATTTTATAGTTCTATATTCATGCAAAAGTCTACTTTAGAATACACAGAATTGAAATCAATACACATTTTACTATGTGGATCTCCCATAGAATAATTTGTGCGATGAAAATCTACGTATAATGGTTGATGATATCTACTGGATCGAAAAGGAAGTCTGAGGGTATATTATCGTTTAGTATTTTAACCCTTAATAGCCTTCAGGAACCTCAACTTTAGAGACTTGTTTTTCAAAAATGTTACTTTTTTGCGCAATGTTTATTCAGCAAATATTCTCTTTATAATGTATGCCATCTAGCGGAAAAGAAAATCATATGCTTTTCGGTGCTGAACAGCTGATTTTTGACGTTTATCAGAAAAACACACAAAAGCTTCAAAGTGAACAAATCGTGCTTTTTCAAATTGATTGAAATCAAAACTTTTGATCCAAAAGAACCAAATAAAATTAATTTTTATTATTTGTGCACTATATTCAAACCATGTAAATATCTTTTTAACAATATAAATTTTTTTTATTTGTGTTTTTCATGTAAAAGTCCTTTGGTCCTTCAAAGAACCAGTAGGCACTCATTAGAGAAGTGAAATTCGTTAGTGCTTTAGCGTCTTTTTCTTATTTTAGTGTTAATTTTTAATTTTTCATAGAAAAATGCCACGTAAATACAAAGATTTTACCACGGCTGAAGAGTTTGAAGCATTCGTCAATGATTTTGAATGGTCAGAAAGTGAAATTGGCGATATATCAGATTATGACGACGACAGTCTAGACGATCCCGATTTCAATATAGTGACAAATAATGATGCGAATATCACTGATCAGTTGGAAGATGATGTGTTCGAAAATGGGAACGAATTAGATGCTGAACAAGTTGTGAGTGTGGAACCAACTGCTGTTGAGAGTGTTCAAAATGAAGATATAGTTGTTACTGGAGATAGCACACGCTGGCATCAAATTGCAACATTTTACAAAGATATCACAATTGACACGGACTCTTCCGAGTTTAAAAAATGTATCTGGAAGAAAAACCATATGCAGAATCATGCTAGTTGGGTTCAGTTTGGCAGCGATTCTGAATTGACAACAGAAATAATGGCACTAGATACACCTTTCAAATTTTTTTCTTACTTTGTAAATGACGATATAATTTCTAATATTGGAAGCCAAAGCAATTTGTACGCAATTCAAAAGGATTCATTGAAACCTCTAAATACAACGCCAGACGAAATAAAACGCTTTTTTGGCATTACATATTTTATGTCCGTCTTCAAGTACCCAAGTATCAGGACATATTGGGGTGAATTTGGCATACCGGCTATTATGAATACCATGACGAGAAATCGATATGACAAGGTACGCCGGTTTTTGCATCTAAATGACAACAGTAAGATGCCACGTCCGTCAGCTCAAGAACCAGCTCCTTCACGTCGACGAGGATTGCGTCCACAAAACACTGATTCCTCAAACATTGATCGTTTATATAAAATTCGTCCGCTTATTGATGCTTTAAATAGAAACTTTGACTCTGTTCCAAAAAGAAGTCGTTTGTGTGTGGATGAACAAATTTGTGCCACAAAAATTAAGCACTATTTGAAACAATACTTGCCAGACAAGCCTCACCCGTGGGGCAATAAGTTATTTTTGATGTGTGACGATATGGGATTCTGCTATAATTTTGAAATTTATTCTGGCAATGAAGACCATGTTTTGGAAAATGAACCAGATTTGGGAGCAGCAGCAAATGTTGTGGTGCGGCTTGCTCGTAGAGTTCCGCGTTTCAAGAACTACAGAATTTTCTTCGATAACTATTACACAACTATTCCTTTATTGGCTTATTTACGCACCCAGGGAATCTATGGGCTTGGAACAGTTCGACGTAACCGAATTCCTGGCTGCAAATTGCCAGAAAAATTACCCAATCGAGGAGACTGCGAAGAATATATGACCAGTATTCATGGTATAGATATAACTACTATAGCATGGAGGGACAACAAAGTTGTAAATATGGCATCGACTTTGCTTGGCATCAAGCAATTGAAATCGACAAATGCAAACGACACTGATGACGCGCCTACGATTGCCAGGTATTTTATACTTTCAACAAATACTTACTGAATATAATTTTTTTTCTTTAGATTTGACAAAAAAAAATAAGTGTAACGTAAATATTCAGTGCCCTGCGATAATCCACGAGTACAACAAGTACATGGGAGGTGTTGATCTTATGGATTCGTGCTTTGGTAGAAGCCGCATAAGAATAAAGTCACGCAAATGGACAAATCGTCTTATATACCATATGATGGACATGGCCATGATAAATGCATGGATTTTATATAAACGCCAATTCTCTTCATCTCCTCGTACAAATAACATGCTGACTTTGCACGAATTTATCGTAGACGTCAGCAAAGTTTTAGTCAAATCTGGCACACAATCTATAAGGAAAGGACGTCCAAGAAGCACTGGAGAATGTGAGACCCCTGAAAATGTGCCAAAACGAGTTCGGGTAGTAATGCCGCCTAGTGACGTGCGGTTTGATAATGTTGGGCACTTCCCGAAATACCTAACAACAGGCAAACCTCGCTGTAAAATGCCCAATTGCACATTTAGAACAACAGTGTATTGCATTAAATGTGAGGTAGAATTATGTTTCCAATCAACAAAAAACTGCTTTCTAGAATATCATACAAAACATTGAATAAATGAACTGAAATATATATAATTTAAATGAAAATAAAAAAAATCATATATAGACCATATGCATTTTACTTGTCAAAGGAGTGCCTGGTGGTTCTTCAAAGAACCAACACACAAAACCTCCCCTAAAATGTCCAAAACTCAAAATTGTGAAAAGTCGTAGAACAAACATTGTTAAGGGTCCTAAAATACATCATATAAAATTTTTTCATTGAAAAAGAAAAAGTCAGGCTATTGAGGGTTAATTGTTAATTGTAGAAATTGTTTCTGCACTGATTCATCTTTATCGGAATATATTGTAAATTGGGGATCCCATACAACAGAGCCATATGCTAATATGGGTCGTACAAGAGATGTAAAAAGTTGTTTTTTAATGTAAGGATCAAAGAATTCTTTAGCTCACCGTTTTATAAAACCTAAGACACCGTGGGCTTTGTTTACCATAGAAATTACATGATTATTAAAATTTAATTTTGGATCCATTAAAATACCTAGATCAACAAATGAATCTTTATGCTGAAACCAATTTGATTTAATTTATATATTAAAAGTTCATGGTTAACCCTGTCAAAAGCATTACTGAAGTCAGTGTAAATTGTATCGGTTTGATTACGCTGAATAAAACCTTTAATGACGGTTGAGGAAAATTGAATAAGATTGGTAATGGTTAAGATTGGCTGAACTGTATGAGAAATTACATCAGTAATTAATTTTTCGAATAATTTTGGAATTGCACTTAATTTAGCAATTCCAAATTAGCAAATTAGACATTAGTTAAGCTACCAGATTTGTGTAAAGGAACTACATAGGATTTCTTCCGGAAGGTAGGAAAATGACTATATTTCAGGGAATAATTAAACAATAGCGTTAATGGGATAGCCAATGTAGCTGAACAGTACTTTAGAATTATGCTAGGAATGTTATCCGGACCTAGACTTTTAATTGATCTTAGATTACGTGGATTTTTAGAAACATATTGACTTTGTAAGAAGGCATAGATATTTGATCTATGTCGATAATTTATAACTATATGTGTCTTTATTTTGGCAGGGTGGATATGAATATGTTTTAGGCAAAAAATTTGCAAAGCACTCTGAAATTTCAGAGGATTTCTCAAATGTCTGATTATTGTATTTCAAAATGGTGGGCTTTGACGTAGCTTTTCTTTTAATATTAACAAAGTCATAAAAAAGATTTACGATTGGATTTGAAGTTATGTTTAATCTTGTTTAAATAAAGATTGTAACGTTTTCGGGACTCTGTCGTATATTTAGACCTTAGCATATTTAGCATAATCTATAGAGGAGCCTGATTTTTTATATTTTTTAAAAAGTTTATTTTTATAATTTTTAATACTTGAAAGCCCAGGTGTGATATGAAAACCCATGGATATCTTTCCGAGTTTCTAACTCAAACAGTGGGAACACATTTTATAATAAATTTATTTAGGATATCATAAAATGACAATTCTAGATCACTATGACTCTCACAAGTAAATAATGAGGTCCAATTTATGGTTGAGATAAGTGTGTTTAACCTTTGGGAAGTCCGTTTTATCATAATTAGGAACAGATTTAAATGACATTGAAGAATTGTTGGTAGCTAATTCATTATGCATCATGGATATGCATAATGTAGGATGGTAGTTATCTTCGGGAGTACATACTGGAGGTATTCTAATTATTTCAAAATATTGTGTATAATTCACAAATGCTAGATCTAGAATTCGATCATAACAATTTGATATGCTATTTATTTGATAAAGATTTATGTCGCTAAATCGATTTACAGACGACAGATTAAAATCGCCAAGAACTAATATTTTGTCAGAGTTATTCATTTTGTTAGTGATTGGATTTATTGCTAACACATGCTGATTATAAATATCAAGTTGCGATGAGGGAGGAATGTATGAGCAAGTCACAAATAATTTAAAATTTTCTAATTCAATGGATATGCAAACAGTTTAATTCAATTAAATTAGTGGAATATTTGGCATCAACTACAATAAAGACGCCACCACCTTTTTAGGCACGTCTATCTTTTCTAAATATTTGATATTTAGAACACACAATTTCGCTATTTAACACAGATACTTTTAACAAGTTTCAGAAAATACTATAACATCATAATTAAAACCAAGACTATCCGAGAATAATCGAGTTAATTTTGTGTTTAACCCTGATAGCACACATTGAGAAACATATTTGTTTATTTTGGCAATATTTCAGCCCTCTGAGGCAAATGTGCTAAGTTTTCAGATCTTTTCAGAAATTCCTTAACAAATGCATTAGCAGGCCAAAATTCTCTCGAAATTAGTCGATGAAACATACTTTCTTGTATTACGATTTTAAAAGATGATCTACTTTCTGAGAAAGCAGACCGAAGCTTATAACAACGTAAAAAGAAATTTCCATCGATTTTATGTAATAATTTACATCCTCAGCCGATGTATCAGGTGCAAACCTAAAAACCTAGTGCAAATACCATTTTCATGGTGGGAGCCATAGATAATGGTCTTTGACCAGGTTGGAGGGAATTGCTAGTGACGGCTACGGAAGACGCATTAGATGTTTGAACTGATGATTTCCGATTTCCGTGAGTGGGTTTTGAAGTCTTTTCCAGACTAGCACTACTAATACTCACAGATTTTGGATTAATCACTTCATTTACATCCTTAACGATTTCCGAGGCCGAATGTGACGCAACACTAGCATAAGTCTGGACCCAATCAGTTTCCGTTGTATCTGTGATATTGACGGAAGGTGATTGTGTCACTGTATTCCCAACAGAAACTGGATTTGCGACTAAGCACGATTTTATTGGGAGCCTTTTTCGCAGACCTTTTACATTTCTGCCCAGACACAGACGGTGATTACACAAATTCATCAAGCTCTTGGTACTTTTCGAACAAATTGGAAAAACTCTCATAACGTTTTGATAACGATATAAATTCCCTTTTCATTGCTCCGACTGCAAGTCTTTTACAAAAATGGACACAGCACGAAGGGACACCAATATTATACCGTCAATCCCACGTCGGCCGGTTCTATGCACCGGATTGACTCGGAGGAATCAGCTTCCAACCAAGGGCTGTCAACCCAGCAAGTACATGTTTGTGTATTTTTTCAATTTGGGAGCTTCATTACCCGGAATGTTTTCTCCGGATTCTTTTGGTCCGTGCCGGGATTAAGACAAATCCCGGACCATGGTTCTGCTCAGTTTGTCACAACAGCATCCAACACAGATCTATCTCAGTGAATTAGATTTCGTTATATGGGTTTACACCGAGGTCAGCCTTGCCATCGGTGGAATAGTTAACACTTTCGTCGGAAAATAAAACCAGAACTCTGGAGTCTTTTTAATGTACTATTTTGACCACAAATATTATTATTAGTTAGAAAATAAGGAAGATCTTCCCGATTTGTCGAATACCAGTTCATACGATAAGCTAGAGAAACGTGTCAAAATTGGATAAGTAGTTTTTGAGTAATCGTGCCCGCCAGTGTTTAAAACATTGATTCGAGAAAAAAGCGAAAACAGCGAAAAAATGTTCACTCTTCTACATTTTATTGACAACTGAAAAAGCTATCAAAAGTTATTTACGATGCTAGAAAACAATATTGCTTGCCATAAAAAAAATAGTTGCGGGTCGAAAAAATTTTAAAACGATATTTTATGAGCGCCGTTCAAAGGTATTCCCCTCTGCCCTACCTATCATAAATTTTAATGTAAAATACAGGCAATAAATTAATGACTATATGCTGTTTTTATTATTTTCCATGTAAAAATTGCATTTTTATCACTAAAACCACCAAGAAAATAATTATATTAGACAAACAGGAAATTGATGTAGAAACTAATGGTCTTAAGTAGTACTAATTATAAAACCAATAAACCGATCAGGATGAAATTTTCCGAAAGTGATAAAATAAATTGTACAGGATCTACCATATTAAATTTGAAAGCGCTTCGAGTAATTTGTTGCCTCGAAAACCTGCCATTGGGCCTATAGTTTACTGCATCAACTTATGGAATCATAACTCACTTTAATACATATTTTTAATTTGTACTATAAACTAGAATTAGTATAAATTCTGTTAATATTTTATTAAATTGCATAGCATTATATTTGTTTTTTTATATGTTTAGTGTTTCTCGTAATTCTGATGAGGAAGTGACATCAAATGAATATCGGCCACCAGTTCCACCGCACAGAAACATTGCCATAAAACATATCCCCAGCCAGAACTATTCAGTTGCTGACAATGTAAGTATTATATACAAAAACCAGTCCTATAATTCTATGTATGTATATTAATATACAGTTCCGGTAACGTAATTAACACACACCTGAAAGGAAAAGTGTTTTGATTAACCCTCGATTCGTTCGGAATATTTTTAAAAACATTTTGATTGATGTTCTGCTCATAAAATGGGTACATATAATGCTAATAAGTGATGACACATATACAAACCTAGTTTCTCAAGAAATTATTTATCTAAATAATAGAATTTCTAACGGATATTCCTCGGATAGAATCTTTGATGGACCCTGGACATGAAACCGAAAGAAATTGAATATATGATCTAACCAAATTTCATGCCAATCAGACATACATCGTGATATCGAAAATCGGACACAATTGTGTATTTAAGTTAAATGTAAACCTGGTACGCTCTAATGTAAGCTTTTGCACAATTCGCTGTACTACAGCTTTGCAAAATTGCATGTCAATCGGAACTTTGGGTATTTGGTGTATATTGACTATTTTATATTTTATATTAGTTATAAATAAAACTAACCTATTTTTTAAAAATGTACATACATTATTCTATCATGACTCTCAATTCGTTATGCTGCGCAAAATGTCTAATTCTGAACTAGGCTCGATTTGGTATCTTGTCGCAAACCGACAAACGTCGTGTATTGTATTTGATGCATAATTTGTATAATATCGGATGAAAATATACATGGAAGCTATATCTCAAAGTCAGAATCAATTTTCAAATATTTCATTAGGTTTCGTACTTGGTTGAAATTTGTTTATAATTATAGATGGAATTTGTTTATAATTATACATGGAAAGACATTTATTCCATGTGTATTCTCAAAAATAACTATGGGTCTACCTCGTTTCTTTTTACATGTTACAAACATATACCAAAGACAATAATACCCATTTCCACAGTAATAATCCGGGTGCGGCGAACGATTAAAATACGCTCTTTCTCACGAATGCTCATGGCGAGAATTTTTTCCTTTTTTTGGCAAATGATAAAGTTACAATAAATGAACAAGCATTTGTAATCTTTTAAGAATATTGGTATAGTACGAACAATTCTCGAACGATAAAACTTCGCTGCAAGTTTCGTCGATTCAATCTTTCGCGAGTATTCGTTACTGGAGAGCCTTTATTTGAAAAATGCAAACAACAAAAGTTGGCGAATACTCGCGAAAGCTTTAAAAAAAACGAACAAAAAGATAATAAAAAAATGAAAACTCACGGCGAATGAATGTGTGCGCAAGAGAATGTGTTGGGCATGGTCGAATAACAAAACACCTGCCCAGCAACTATTGCGTTCACGGACGTTTGTTGTTGTTTTGAGCATTCGCGAATGTTCGTAGTCATTCGTGAGCGAATGTCAAAAATAATTTCAATCACCAACGCAACGAACGATCGCTGTTGAGTGTTCGTATTCGTTTGTAATGTATGTGCGAACATTCGTTTGGCGAATGCTCGTTTGGTCACGATAAATTCAATAGCAAAATGAGCACAAACGAAAATATCGTAATTTTAATCGAACGCGATCGAATTTGTGCTCACCCTGGTTATAATGCTTTCACATTATTAAGTACTAATTTTTAAAACTTTATAATTTTTAACAAAGCAACCAGACTATACCAAAGGAAATGTAGCGCAACCAGTCCCCACAAGCAGTGTCTCGCATACAAATGCGGGTTTATCTCTACATGACCAAGCCCATTTAAAAACTTCGCCAGGACTCCATTCCTCCATTTGCTTGCCGAAACGAAATGGCCAAAATTATACAAAATCATTACAAGAAGAAAAACACAATGCTGAAAAATTGGTGGAGTGTTCAAATCAAAAGATGAATGTGTTTCAATTCGATACATTGACTCCTAATAAAAAACAAATGTGTTCTACGAAATCCAACCAAATAAATGGAATTTCTAATGGTAAGATATAATATTTACGAAAATGTAAATGAAAAATTAAATTTGTATGTTTTCTTTGGACATTTAAAACATGTATCCGAACATATTTCAAGTGTGTTTTCTATTTACTTAAATCCTACAATAAAAATGTTTTCTGCATTGTTTTTTTTATATAACCTTACTATATTAGAACGCCAGTCACAGTTGATAGATAAAAAGGTGTTGATTAGTGAGGCAAAACCATTAGAGGACGCTAGTCCTTTTATTAAACCATGCTATGAACAATCGCAGAACAAAACATCTCGAGTAAAAAGAGCGACTGTAGTTGGAAACCCCATGTTCTCATCTACTGTGGACGATAACAATGATGAAGAGGAATGCTTAAGCCTAGATGATCTCGATATGGATTACGAACAGATTATGCATTATTTTGACAATTTGAAGGTAAGAATACATAAACACATTCCGCACATATGAAATCGATAAGGAGTAAAATATATCTTGTTTATTACAAAATATATAATATATATTTTTTATTTTAGGAATCAAATGCCTGAGTCTGTAGCATAATCACTGATGTCCAAACAATTCTAAACAGTTTTCAACAGCAATATGATAATATAAATATCGATGCTAGTCCAAACCACTAACATAACACAACACCAAAATGGAGCTTGAAATGGTCTATTATAAAAGTTAAACCACGCTGCAAATCACTTTAATGTTATACCTAATATACATTGTCAATCATATACTTGCATATACATATTAATTTATAAATTGTAAAGCATACATTATTTGTTAATGCGAAATAGCATCTAACGTGCGATGTGTAAAAGGTCAAACAACTCCTGTACAAGTACGCATGCTTAGAATATTTTTTGAACGATAATTACAACCAATTCAAGTCATTAATACAAATGTAAAAGAACTATTAGAACATATGTTATTTAAAAAATTGTCACATCCATTTGTAATCATAATTAGTACTGCGTTCTATGTGTATGACTCTGCTGAAATCACTCCCATCTCTCTTCAAAAAGCATATAATACGTATTCGAAGTACGACAAATATTAGCTTAAATATACAAATCCAGCGCCTATGCAAATACTCGGTATCAGACTTGATGATTTAAAATTTCTGGCATTCCAAATTACATTTTCCAAAACATATAAACACATAAAGTATATTGAATGCTTCAATTGTTTTAGCAGAGATCCAAAATTAATATTTTGCAGTTGTATTGTTACAAAATGTTGCATGTATTTTCGACCTACATGTACTGAAATATTAATAGGTGCCCAATATTACAATGTGTATTTTAGGCATCACACGTTAAATGTATGAAAACGCTAACATTAAACATAGAATCTAGTAGTAAAAATAGTTTATTGCTTTAGAGCTTAAAATTTGATTGTAATATATTAAATATATATATTGGCGGAAAATAATATATTCTCAATAAAAAGAAATATTCAAATTATTGTAAAAACTTGCCACACACTTTGGTCGTAATCATTGTCAATACGAATGTTTTCATGAAATTAATATGAAAAACTACTAATTGAGTTGATTTTCGTTCTTATTAGTCTAATGTTATTTTTGAGTAAGATATTACTGTTGAAACATTCCAACCATATATAGTTTAGGGAATTTGGGAAACACCTTCATTGTGAATATTTCCCCCTTATTTGAGCATGTGTTTACTTCCGCCAATATATATGTGTGAAAATATATACAACATATATGTGTATATAAAATAGTTTTTATATATACGTACGTATTGTTTTGAGCTATGATTTTACATTGGTTCCCGCTTGTTACGTGAGTATGAGATGAATTATAACAATATATATGGGCATTTGCGGAAGAGGTAAACCAAGGTCGCCGATTTTTTAATTATACTTAAATACGTGCAGTAGTGGCAAAAAGGACAAAGAAAAACAACATTTGTCTTTTTTTATTCTTATTCTTGGCATAAATACTAATTTAATGACTACAAATGTATATACTGCAGAAGTAAAAATTGCAAAACCAAAAATGTCGCGTGAGTTACCCAGAAAAATTCTTCGCAAAAAAGGACAGGCCAAATTTTGCCATTTGAAAGTGAAATAAGAATTCTTGATGTTTCTTATTTATGTAAAGAATATTTGAAGTTAAAATGTTCACAGAATTCTAAGAGTTTTCCCACTATTAGCAATTTAGTGAGTGAGTGACCTTTTTTGTGGCGGTTATTTTAAAAGATGAATATCGGAGGCTCTCAAAATTTTTGCCACAAATAGTACTCTTAAAATACTACAAAAAAATGTACTAAGGGTGAATTGTAAAAAATGTAATTGTGTTTGATATATTTAACATTTAAAGTTTTATTTTCCTCCGAAAGTGTGTAAGTTACCTCGGAAGTGTCCATATATATATATTTGATATTTCATATCATGTATACAATAAGTGAGCAAATGTAATATTCCCATTTCTCAGTTATCAAAAATGTTTTGGTTTTCTAAATTGTTCCGTCCAATTATATTTTATTTTTTGTGTATATTTTTAACAAAGACAATAGTTCTTAAAGTACGACATACTCACAATCACTGTTTTGTTATTCTAGTCAATCATTGTTTTGTAATTAATATATATCTATTTATATAAATAAATGAATAAGCTTTTTCTGTTTTTTATGTTACGCAGAATTAAATACCAGTTTCTAAATTGATAACCATTGTTCAAAAAAATTGGATTTCGAAAGGCGCAATTATCAATATTGTCCAAATATCATGTTATGTATTTCGGTATAGAGTATAAGTTGCTTAAATATAAGGCTATTATATAAACGAAATACCTTGGATTTTAAGGGCTATGGTCAATGAGAGATCTACGGATTACATAGGATTGTAACCACCAATTCTGAGGTTTTTCTTATACAAAAATATCAACTTCTCCAAAAATTTTGCACAGAAGAAATTAAATAAAATATATATATATATACATATAAACTTCAAAAAACATTCAGTACTTTATTATTTGTTTGTAGGGGAATATTTAATGTACAATCCGGCTCGTCTGAAATTTTGTAATACAGTAAAATGTCGAAAATTTGTAATTTCAGGGTTTCGAATTAGCGGAGGAAAGAAAGAAAACAAGTGAAAAAGCGTTAAGTTCGGCCGGGCCGAACTTTGGATACCCTCCACCATAGTTATACTGACTGTTATTTCCAATAAAGCTAGAATACACTGCGTCGAATGTTTTGGTATAATAAATGTAACAAAGGCACAAAAAAATATACAACATACAATAAAGAAGGTTGGAGGGAACGTTATGTGGGCCTAGACAATATTTTTTTTTAATTATTGGTCCGCCTATTTACTAAACTACCGTTGTATAGGATCTATGTGGGATTAGGGCTTAACTTTTATACGGTCATTTCTTCTAATGGAATAATTGGTTTCCTTTCAGTTGTGAAAGTACTCAGCTCCCCCGCCACGTCACGGCTTATTCCTAGGGGGAGTAGGGCTGAAGCTTTCTTACCCTCTTTTCTTTTAAAATATAATGGAATAATTAGTTTCCTTTCAGTTTTGAAAGTACTCAGCTCCCCCGCCACGTCAAGGCTTATTCCTAAGGGGAGTAGAATATGTTAACTTTGGAATACCATTTTAGTTTATATAAAATGGCCCAATTAACATAATCCATTATTATTGAAATGCATTTCAATATATTTCAGTATATTGAATCATATCGGAAAGTGCCACAGTTCGCATATTCATTAATTTATGATCAAGCATAAAAATATATACGATGCTATGGATAATTATTTGAATGATATAAGTTGTAAACATTATAATTTAATTATATTAAAATATATGTATACATCTATATATATATATATATAATTTATATAATATATTATCTTTATGTAGATAATTTATATAATAAACTTACTTAAGTTCATATATATAGAATGTTAATTTTCTCCGTATGGTTAGTGTTAAAGTCCTACAACTATTCCATCATGATGGCTATGTATGGTACAATAACTTTTGCAAATACTCCGATCAGACATTATATTAGTAAATGCCATTGTTGTATAAGTCCATCAATAGTGTCACATAAAATTTGCCGAAAAGAAGTTTCCGAAAAAGATGGATTCCTATAAACGACCACTAAACATATATCTTTATACTTTATAGCAATACACTGCATTGTTTTAGATCCTTGCGTATGGTCTTCTTTTATTAGGATTCTAACGTCTTTTGCTATTTCTGATCGTGAAAAAATTAGAATCCCCCTTTTATTTCTATCCCTACATAGGCCTTCTTCAACACAGTCAATTCTACTTATTTCTGCAAATCCCGGGATACAACATGTTTCTTCGGGTAAAGTCCATGTCTCAACTAGACAAATAAAATTGCTGTTCATAATTGCGAAATCAGAAATAATATCGTCTTTATGAGCTCGAAAACTCTGAATATTTTGGTAAAAAATTTTAATTCCGATTTCATTAGAAGTTAGGAAATCATATTGCAATTTTAATCTTTTTGTATTGGATAACTTCTGTAATTCTAATTTGACTGGGTCACCATTCTGGAAAGGTTTGGGAGGATTAAATGTTCCAATGATGTACAAACCTGATGCATTTGTTGCTCTACTGCAGGCGACATAAAGAGCTGCTCTGGACATATTTTTGCGAGTGTGTACTCCAACTTTCTCGTATGTAGCGCCTTGACTCTTGTGAATTGTGATACCCTCTGCAACAACCAATGGGAACTGGCGACGATCAATGCAGATTTGATCATTTCTTTTGAATTGAAATGATCTAATACACATTTCAATAGGAGTCCAAAGCGATTCTCTTGAATGGGGATTTCGTCTACGTGCATCTCTTCCGACATTTTCGTCTGAAAACATTAACCAAAGAGTTCTTGGGTTTGAGGTTCCTCTTTCAAAATCAATATCCATTAAAACTCCAGTAGCGCCATTAACCAAACCATCCGCTGTGTTGATATTGATGGTTATCATATATTTAGCTGATTGCTTCAATCGAAGTTCTAAAGGAAGACCTTGTGTTTCAGATGTTTTCAGCTTTTTGATATTGTTGAGTATATTTGCTCTTTGTTCAGGTTGCAAAGTGTTGCTTTTGACAATGTCGTATGCTTTAGAAGTAAATGCTTCGGTAGGCAATTGATTTAGTTTTAGTGTATTATAATGTTCGGCTTCATCGTTGGACATGAACAAATGAATAGCATCTGGTGGAACTTCATTTATACTCTGTACAATTCTTGATTTGAAAATATCAATGTCTTCATTTGTCATTTCACCGTTGGACATTCTATTAAGTGCTAATGCAAAACTTAAATCTTCCCTTTGACGCATTATTTCTGTCAATTCATAAAAATTGAAAAGATCCCATAACTGGGAACCTACAATAAGCCCATAAGGGTTTGAAGAGTTAGAACTAAAAATCCATCGATCGCCAACGGGTGGAAGTTGTTTTAAATCACCGAAGGCAATTATTGAAATACCACCAAATGGATTTGTATTCTTAAATATCTGTTTCAGGCGTGCATCAAGATAGCCTAGCATTCTTGATCCGACCATTGATATTTCATCAATAATGATCACATTCACATTAATCAATTTTGCAAGTATGGAGTTCACACTGTCGCTGCTCAGTGGCCGCAATTCGCCCGAAAATTGATTGATTGGAAGGGAGAAAAGAGCATGCAAAGT